AGAATATCAAACAGTGTCAAAAGCCATCGAGCTTCCCCACTCTTATCTATAGCTTGATAGACTCTTTCAGCAATAATACATCAGCTGTTGACCTAAATAAGTGAAAGCGAGGTGTAATGCTTAAATAATTCAGAGTTGATTAGAGATTCTACGACTTTATCAGAAAGAGGTAGAAGACTAATAAGAGCCTAATAATTAGAAATATCAAAAGGTTCGCCTGGGTTCTGAAGGGCTGGATCTACAGAAAAAGATTTCCAATAAGCAGGAGAGCAATAAGCAGCAAGTCATTTATTGTAGATTTTACAGAAGCCAGTTCAAGAGCATATTTCTTAATGGCTGTTGCAGGGATACCATCATACACACATGCTTTAGGGGGTTCTAGCTTATAGAAGCTAGCAATAACCATCGGGGAGTATTATGCATATCATTCAATAAAGAATCAGTTGTAAGTGGAAAGTCAAGCAAAAATGCTCCAGATGAGTCAAAGGTAGAACTTTAAGAGTATTTACTAGCAAAACAGTAAGCAGATGATGAAAATTGAAGCAAGTAAGGAGGGATATACGTACTCTTATTTAATACCCTATTACAAAGCCACCAGTATTTTCGAGTTACAAGAAGCAAACTTGTTATGCGAAGCCTTATTCTATCGGCAAACAAAGAATTATCATCTTTGAGAACACGTTTACAATTATTATAATAGTTGAGTCGGTAGTTATTATAATAGTTGAGTTGAGTTTTTGTTTATCAGTTCACTCGTAGTTCTTTTCATTGTAACAGCCATAAGAAGATTTAAATTTAAGGGGGAAAAAGGGCAAAATTATTATCACTGTCCATCGTTTATGGAAATACAAACTGACCAGCAAGTGGCAAAGACAAAAGGATAATGTGGCCTCAGGTTGAGCCACCGGAAGTAAATGTAGGAACACTTATCCATGCCAGATATAACACTGCAATATTAAGCAACTACTGATCAGGACAGCGACTGTAAAGCACTAAGAAATATTTCGGGCTGCTTACTACCAAAAACCGGAAAACTGTGAACCCGATACACTCATTAAGATCAGTCGGATCCCCCAAAAGTTAAATCATTATGGGCATAGCAGAAAGAAATGGTATACGTTATCCTAAACAGGAAACAAGTGTTAAACCTATATACCTGCTTTTTTTCTTATATGAGTGTATATATATATATATATATATATATATATATATATATATATATATATATATATATATATATATATATATATATATATATATATATGTGTGTGTGTGTGTGTGTGTGTCATTCGCAGACAGTACTGTTTCGCTGTATCATAGCTCCTCAGTGCGACGAGACAACCGAATGCCTCATGCCCAAACGATTTGCTTTTAGTCAGAGTCTCTACCACTGAGCAATCTTCATTCGACAGAATGAATCAGCCAAATCTAGCGTATTGTTTTTACGGATCTAAACGAACACCAAACAACCGAAGTGCTCCATTCATTTTACTGAAGAGCTTCGCATTAACGCAGGTGGCTGTTGTTTTTAGAATTAGCTTGTAATTCAACAGTGCTCAATTCAAAAAATATATTTTCAAGAGCTAAATTATGTCTTTCGCTTCGCCATATATATATATATATATATATATATATATATATATAGAGAGAGAGAGAGAGAGAGACGTATGTATGTATGTATGTATGTGTGTGTGTGTGTGTGTGTGTGTGTGATAAGATAAAGAACAAATAGGAAACGTTTATCAGTCATGCTTAAATTTTTATTAAAGCTTCACCAGAGTATAAGATTTGAAATAAAAGAAAGAGATTCTGGTATTTTTACTTTTTGTTTTTTTTTTACCTTTCAATCAATTTAAATTAGTTTTGAAGAACACTAAATTATTTTACTTATTTGAAATATTAAATTTAGCTTAAAATTAAAATAAAAGCTTCAAGGAAGAATTTAAAAAAAAATATTTTAAACCTTAGGTATCACGTTTCTTTGGAGACACTTGCTATAAAAAGAGTGCTCAATATAAAATATAAAATAATATACAAAACAGAGCGAATATGAAATATAATAAAAATCTTATTTTACTAGTTTCCATGGCGTAAATAACTTAGAAATAACTTTAAGTTTGGGATAAGAAAATATAGAAGATATGGTCTTCGAAACATTTTAAACTCTTTGCTTCGTAAGGCTAACTGAGCTTTGCTGTGCCGTCAGAAGATGACAGGTTCGCATATCGTCCAGGCCATACTCACCTCTGGTCTTTTGAACAGGAATAGAGATTCATCCCTGTTTTTTTCTTTATTTAAGATTGGGTTTCCGGTTCCTTCTAAAATCTTTTCTTTCTCCTTCACTTCCTGTAAATCCTTGCGTCTTAGTGGCATTATCACATTACTTGGGGTGAATTGATTAAAAATGAAAGATTTAAAAGAACGCCAGTTTATTCGGTGTAAATGTAGACCCAGGTGTGAACCTTGCCGAAGGACACATTTTATTTAATAAAACAATCTCAAAAAACAGGTCAGTACTTACCAATTATTATGCTTATGAAATATATCTGTACTCAAACACGTATCTACTAAACATAACGTTTATAGTAATGAAAAAATATAATACCGATGCCTTTTGTTACGTCAGCATGATATATATTCTAACTTGTTGACAATAATATATTTCTAGATATCCGGATACACCAGTTGAGTCAACTCTTTATTTTTAAATGACTCCTCACTGGGTTTTGTTGACGATCAAAGACTCTTATGATGTGTAATCGTAAAAAGAATATCAAAAATAGTACTTTCTCTCGATACAGATGTGCTATTCCTGGTTTACCAAACGACACCTACGAAATCCAAGATACGAGCCACGCCGATCAGATCACAGCCTATATTCCATTGCACATAGAAGATGGAGAGCACAAATATAGCAAGTGTTATTTCTACAGCAATGAAACATTAGGCAGTAACAGAACGATGCATGCATGCAATTCTTGGGTTTATGACAAATCACAGTATCAGGCATCTGCTACCAGTGATGTGAGTATTATTTCATTTTTTTCTTGTATTATATTCATTGTCATTATCATTTTGGAAAAAAATGATACGTTCCACAATATCGAACCAGGAAAGTTTTACTACAATATTTCTTTCACTGACTATTAATAATTTCCTATTCTGCTGTAGTTATTATTTGCTATTTGTTAACTTTTTGATGTCTTTAACATTCTACCGTTTTCTGTGTTCCGAAAGCAGTAATTACGTTTTACCAGAAATTATATAAAATATAAATCACGTTAAATTTATTTACATTTTTATTTAATTATTATTTATCAGAAACGTTATAATCTTCATTTTCAATGACTGAAGCGCAGCGTGAAAGCACATTTTTGATTCACTGTTTCAAGAAATTTTGTTTTTGCCCGAAAAAACTTCGAAGGCTTATTTTCAAATTTTTGTGTTGCGTTGACTCATAATTCATTGTACTGATACGTAATTACTTTCCGAACAACATAATATATTGATTTTCTGTTTTAACCATTTTTTTTACTTTGATTCAAAGTCAAAGGAGAATAATTGAGATCTAGGAAGATAATATTGCATCAATTTAGTAAATACAAATACCCGACTGCCTTTAAAATGATTCTTTATAATCCTGGCTTTTCAGCTGTAGCAATTTCGCAACCTTTGACTATAGTCAATTCGCTGACAGAAACATTTGCATATTATATTTAAACCCATTACAGGCGGATCAGTGGAGTAATGGATAGCGGTTCGGATTCCAGTCGAATTCGTTACATTAGCACTTACGGGCTAATACCCTTGGGAAAGGTATAAATTTTTCTTCTCCCCACCAGCAGAACAGGTTCTATAGCGTTTGATAGTCTACCGCAGAAAGAAATGGCAACCTACTGCGGGGAAAAATCTGTCTCGTCAGTCATGTATCTTTCGATATATAATTGCCTAATTGTGTATCACGCATGGTACATAACTGATAGGTGCAGATTAAGATTATGCCAGCAAAGAACAAGTTCAAGAACGCAGAATAACAAAGGAGGCGTGGACTCCCAACGTTTTCGCTCGTTCATCACGTTACACCGTTTTTATAGCTAGACAGTATTGCATAATAACAATTTAGGAAGAAAGTGAGTTAGTAATATTATAATGCATTAGTATTCCAAGTGAAGAAGATGCCTTGAGAATCAGCATTCTGAATCGTAGTATTTATGGGAACTTGAAAGCAACACAGATTCTCTTTTTTCACTCACTTTTAGGGTGTCGCCATCTACTACTATTTATTAAGGTTACTTTTCAGCCATGATTACATAGGATTTTTTTATAATTGACAGTCAGATTAGATTTCTTAAGTGACAGCTTGGTACACAAAGCCCACCAGTAGTAACTGATTGATTTGTTTATCAAATCTTTAAAGTTAAAGACGAAACATATTCTGGGTGTATGACTAGCATTTTTTCTGCAACTGAATATTGCTTTAACATTTTATGATTTTTTTTCCAGATACAGAACCTAATATTTTACCGATAGCTGGAGGAGAAGAGATGGATTCATGCCTTTCCAATTTGTGCAGAAATGAATGTAACGAAACTAACAGGAGTTTGAACTGAACTCTCGTTTCTTATTCCGAACCGCCTAACCATAACCCTAACCCAGACAGGCAGAAATTATTGTTTATTTTAGATAACGCCAGAATACACAGCCGTCTGAATTTATTTAACTTGACATCAGTGTTTAATTTCTCTTTTAATATTTTTGCCTCATATTTGTATATCTTGAATTAATGGATTTTATTTTTTAAAATACAATTTGCCGTAATGTCTGAATTGAACAGGAAAATGATAGGAATTTGCCAGATGTAAATTTAATTTAAAACTGTCAAAAAAGATAAAGTCCTAGTTTGAAGTACACAGTAACCATCAAATCATTACATCATTAATCATCTACGAATACAGTCCTATTCTATGTATGTATGTATGTATGTATGTATGTATGTATGTATGTATGTATCTATCTATCTATCTATCTCAATCAGTTCGTATCTATCTATCTATCTATCTATCTATCTATCTATCTATCTATCTATCTATCTATCTATGTCTCCTGTAAAGAAAAACCGTGAACAGGACATGTTTTTTTATGAACTTAAGGTAATAGAGACGAAGTATTCCGAGATAATAAGTAAATGTGAAAAAGTAAACAGCATATCAAAAATTAATTAATAGCTATTAAATTTGCGTTTTATATATGCAATTAAGTGAGCTAAATAATAGTAAGAATATATTTTTTAAATTTTTTTTTATAAACAGATGAACATGGCATGCGATCGTGAAACTTTCACTAGTCACGTGAAGACCGCCTTTTTCGCAGGAGCTCTTACCATGTTTTTTTTTGGCGGATGGATTTCAGATAGGTAAAAACAGAACACTTTTTTTAAAAAAACATTCATTTGTATTTAATTTTTCCCATGTTTTCAAACAAACGACATATGTACTGGACTTTGACTGAATTAAGAATTAGAGCAATGATGCCAATTTATATGCACATAACAAACAAATATGGTTCCAGATTTATTACTGATCAATGTTTAATAAGTATTTCAGTGCCAGTGTGAGCCCGTCAGTAAAGATCAGATTTACGACAGAAAAAGAGTCTGCGGTACTATCTTAGTATTTTCAAAGTGTACTTTAGCATGGTACAAACATACAAGTTTGAAGTACACAGTAACCATCAAATCATTACATCATTAATCATCTACGAATACATCTAGGTTATCCCTGCATCACCTTGAAGTATTCGTATGGTTCACTCCAACGTATAATATAAATTTAAAAACAGTTATAGGTAAGATATTAATCAAACTCGTCGACAGATCAACTGCACAAAATATTCAACAGAAGTCCTCTAAAAATTAGCAATAGTTGCACCAAAAACATGCTACAAATCCTAAAACATAACAGAAAAATCTCCACTGCACCACAACCTTCCAACAATTCTCATATGCAACTGGAAAATAATATCTGAATGTCAACTAAATGGAAAAAATAAAACCAAAAATACATGAGACTAACTGAAGGGATATGGGAAAAATGAAGCTACTCACACAAAATAAACAAAAATATGCAAGAAGTACAAACTTCCTAAAATATATACGAAGGTTCAAAAGCATCAACAATCACATGGAAAAAAAAACAGCACCAGGCTTGGCGTAATGGTCTTTTTCACAAGTTAAAAGGTTATGATATTTCTAGGCAAATCTTTGATCGGATTCAATCTTTTTTTTATCAAATCACGAAATGAAAATTGTTTTGAATAGCCACTCTATTAGAAGTTTTGCATAGATAGAGCTCCATCCTTGGACCTACGGTGTTACTAATTTTCATCAACGAACATCCCCATGCCGATGACGCAATTACTTTGACCTGTCTTAATGATAAATCTGATCAGCTCGTAAGATCAAATTAGCAGCTAACATAGAAAAATGGAGTACAGTCAGTTGTTAACTTACATTAAAATTAAAAAAAATGTCTTCAAGACGAAACTGTTTTTAATAGCCTGAAAGAACCTTTTATAATTTACATTAGAATGGCTGGTTCTAACAAGCAGGAGAGTGACTCATTGCCACTTTTCTGTTTAACGTTGGATCACTGGGACGTGCTAGACAATTTTTTTCCGCCAGAATTTATCTTACATATTTATAAGTCTACCATCCTCTTGAATATTGCTGTCACATGAGTTCTGGTCCTTCTGCTGTGTATTTAGAAATTCTTTAAAAAGATTCAAAGAATAATCTGCAATCATGTCGGCTACAGTTACCTTCGCCGTAAATGTGTCTTTTCTATAAATACTTTCACGGCAATTGTTTTGTGTAGGAAGCAAATCATTTCTTATGGCGTTTGTCATTCTATCAAATTATTTTCTACGACATCTATAAAATTAAATGTGTTTTAAGAGATGATAATATAATTTGTATTCTGCATTTAATTTTACATTATTTTGTGTATTTCCTACGAGTACATTTTAATTCAAATTTTACAGCTGTGTTCTATTATATTTTTGAAATTACGTTTTTTCTTAGTAATTGTTAAATTTATATCAAAATACATTTGCATAAATGTAAATTAAATGCAATCGTAGGAAGTGTGTGAATGAAAATTTTGCAAATATGCAAATACTTCTCCACACTAACTACATTAGATATCATTGCCTCGCAATTACTGCTGGTGATTCCGTGACTGTAAATTACCTCAAACATCAACTATTGTCTTTATTTTTCTCGTAACTACCATCGATTTTGTTGTCTTCCTTGGAGAATAATGGTGTGATCTTTATTTCGTCGCCTGCCGCGATGTACAAATCCATTAACTGAGCCGAATATTTAGTCCTGAATGTGACCTTGGCATCAAAGGATTTGATGACTTAAAACAGCGACAATTGTAAAGATTTTCTCACCAGAGAATATTTTATCAGTTGGCCCATAATACTTGGGGTGCATGAAAACTTCTTGCAAATTTTAAAGCATCTAGTCTTTATGGACTCTACGAAGTGGTGGCAGGGCGTGTGACTTTAGCCACACATCGTCATGGAGAACCTTTCAGATGACCTTGTGGATGGCATTTTGCTCATGAGCTTACATCTGGATGTTGATGTTTCCTTTACAATAAGGCGTTAAGTATTGATTCCGCTATATTTTGTAAAAATTGTTAATTTTATCTCTAAATACACTACTTGTGTAAATTTAAAGCAACCGTGAGCATAGGAAGTATTTAAAATGAATATATTTCAAATGCCCAAATACTTCTTTTCATTAAGTGCATTGAATATCACTCATTATATATTTCCATGTTCGCAGCAGATATATCATGATTACTCCAGATATCTCGTGATCAACAATATTCCTTATTGTACACGTTTATATCAATGTTTCTATGGCTGATCTAATTTCTTCCTCGGATCTATAATTCTTCCAATTTTGATCTCAGTGTGTTTTGCATAATTTTTAACACGATTCTAACTAATGCATTGTGCAGCTTCTTTCGTTTCTAACAGGTTTCTGGCATTATTATTTCTCATTTTCTTTTGTGGTCAGTCTGTTGTCAGGTAGAACGTTTTGTACAAATATCTGGTCCGGTCTATTTGATTAAATATGGGGCCTAGTTTCTATCTGGACCGCAAAGATCCAGAGTATTTTACATTTATTTTAAATTCGATGGTTCTGATTTTAGTATTTATTTATATGATCAAACAAAAGCCGTTTGCATTGTTCCCAGTGTATAACTGTTCCTATTCTCTCATGTATGCGTTTATATCCTCTGTGAAAAACTTACTGCATTCAATTATGATGACGTTAAAATTTTCGTATCTTTCTCTACAAATCTAACATTTGCTGTTTTTCTACGTTTTTCTACTTTTGATTCTGATGCAAATGATGTTTGTTTTAATAAGTTTTTCCGATTTTTAATTATATTCTAGCTTCCTATGGTCCGCGGGAATGACTACATCTGCCATTTCACAGGCTTTCTTTTCTTCAGACCTCATTGTCTGAGTTGGATCGGATGACCCTTGTGTATCTTTAAAACACCTTAAATTTTAGTTAGACATCAATATTAGGTCGGGTCTTTTAGCATGAATGGTGTTCCAGTATCAGTTCAGCTCTCAATGAAACAGACTATTTTACACGTATTTCCTTGAACAGCCTTTGGTTTAAGCCCATACTTAATTTATATATACTCTGTCAGATATACTTTTTATTTTCCTCTTGAATAAACTTACTGCATTCAGTTATATCATTATTACAGTGCCGTATGTTTTTGTGTAAGCGCAATGTTTATTGCTTTTTTGTTATTTATTTAAGTTATAATAAACTTGATTTTGATGCAAATTAATTTTGTCTTAATAAGACAATTTTTCTTATTGTTAATCATATTCTAGCATCTGCCATTCCATAGAATTTCCTTTCTGCATTTAAATTGAAGATCTACTTTTCTGAATTGGATCGAGTGACACGTCTGTGATTTAAATGTGTAAAACATCTTAGGTTCCTTGTTATGTGCACTTATGATTAAATTCGTTAATAGATCAGTAAATACGACTGAAGCTTTTAAAATCCAAACAAAAATATTTTTATTTCCCCACCCCCGTGTCATTTATTATAAAATGAAAAATTAATCTGACGTCATATATTTTCAGGTTTGGACGGAAAATAACTCTAGTTTCTTGTGTTCTTATTCAAGGAATCAGTTCTTTGGCGAGTTCGCAAGTAACTAACGTTTATTTATTTCTCTTCTTCCGATTTTTATCGGCCGTCGGAGGGTCTGGAGGTTATACTGCGCTTCTTGTATTTGGTAAGAACCTTTGACTATTTAATCATTTATATATCGTTGGTGTAGTACTAAAGATACCACATTATCGAAAAGAGCAAAATGACGTAGATTGAGAAAAATATTTTTGTGCAATTAGGTCCCAATTTGAAAAATGTTCTCTTATGTCAAAATGACGTATGTTCAGTGAATCTCTTTTCACATGCTTCTTTTTATTTTCACCACAACTGCACTTACACCCTTTTATCATTACACCAATGATAATTTACTTCATGTTATATTTAAATCCTTTACAGGAGACACGGTAGAGTAATAGCGGCTCGGATTGAGAGCCGAGTTCGAATTCCAGTCAAATTCATTACGTGCTAATAATAACCTTGGAAAAGTATGAATTATCTTCTTTTACCCCAGCTATGGGTAAATAACAGGAGAAATCGGGTTCTATAACCTTGGGTGGAAATTGGTCTGCCTTAAAAAGAAATGGCAACCTACTGCGGGAAAAAAATCTGCCTCGTCAGTTATGTATCGAAAGATACATGATAGTCTAAGCGTGTATCACGCATGTATCGTAACTGACTAATGAAGTAGATTGTGTCAAGGTATAGCCGACTTAGCAAGGTGGCAAACTAATTCATACGTTGTAAACTAATCATATGAAACCTTTTCCTGTACAGCGGTTTCGATCTTTCGCCTATTTTGATATTGCGCCAGTTAAAACTAAAATGAGTAAATATTTAATCGTAACTGAAGCTGAATGGAAAGACAGCAATTTTTCTTATTTCAGACCAAAAATGCAAGCAAGTAGGGAAAAAGAAATTTCTGATCAGCATACTGTAAACATCATCTGTTCTTGAGGAATAAATATGTTCCAAAATCACAACCGTATACCTGAAACCGCAAATAGCATTGAAATTTATATATATGATATACTTTCTTATGCGTATATTCTCATGATGAAATTAATTTAAAAAATTAAGCCCCAAAACCTGTAGAATATTGGTTAGCTTGCAAGTGGTCTGACACACTGGTAGACTGGTGTAGTCCAAGTTAAAAGCAATATTTATTTCTGTAAAATACGGAAAATGTGGCACAAGGCCGAAATGGGGAAGGGGGAAGAGGTTGGTCTTCTGTCTTAACTTTAAACTTAACTAGCCACAAACGCTGACACAATCATACTAACAATATTCCTTCCACCAAAACAACACATTCTTACGTACCTTCCTCACCACATCCACCATAATACCTCAATGTCTCCATGAAAATACTAACTAGTCCCCATATGTACAATTTATTATCTGGGGGGGGGGAATAAAAACAACAATATTAAAAAAATGTTAAAACTAGCCCCAATGAGTATTTACAATATGAAATAAAAACTATTTACAAGAAACTAAACAAAATCATGATAGTAATACCCACCCCGACAATCACTAAATGTGGCAGAAACATCAGGTAACCAGACGAAATTAATGCGGGACTAAAATAATATAAAACATTCGTTCATCCCAAGCACTCACGCAGATACGCACTCATTCAGACACAACAAGAAATACGAAAAATCACACACGAAAAGCAAGTCACCCCGCATCTACCAGAGAACTAACATCACTGACCCCCTAACGAGAGAGGGGATAGGAAATAAAACTTAAAGAAAAATAGGGACAGAAATAAAAGGTGTCAATGTGCATACATACCCTAGCTAAGTTTATTGAAAAAGGAAACTAAAGAATTAAAACTAAACCTAAGCTAACCTAATTTTGGAATGGGTTGCCCGTGTTCAACTCAGGCAAAGCAATATACTGATGCCTAACCGGCATAAAAGTGCCACTCCATTTCAGGTTCTTTCACACGACACAAGCGCACAAGATTCACCCACCTTTTACCCAATTCTGATGAAGTGAGTCGCCACCTTTTCCAGCAATGTGGCGCACGCGAATTTGCCGAGATGCGCTCCGATTCTCCTCTGCACTTAATTCAGCGGCCATATTCGTTGCCTCGGAGGATATTCTATTTAACCTAGCCCTAACTACAAGACCTTGATCCTTCTTGATAAGCAACAAGCACAACTTTGCCTTAGCTAAGGCTATTTCCCCACTATCACGGGATTTAAATTTTTGTTCTAAAGCCGTTTGCGCCGTTAATCTATCTAGATTGAGTCGACGACTAAAATCAGCAGCAAATGTTCTAATTTTGGATTTTAAATTATCCCACCAGGCGTTCTCTACAACCGTCCCCGTCAATTCCCGTTCACCAAATAATGAACAGTTTAATTTCCAGTAGTCAGCCAACCTAACCTTAGGCTTATCTAAGTTTACACAGACGCGGAGAAGCCTATGATCCGAATAAATTATATAATGGAAAAGAGCCCTACATCGATTCTCCTAACTAAGACTCGGTCGAGGTTGCTAGCAAGCGTCCCAGGAGCCGAGTTGCCACTATTTGTCCAAGTCCAAGCTACCTCCCGAGGGTGCTCATTCCGGTACTTATCGACAAGATCAAATGTGTCGAAAAAGTATCAAAATGGTTTAACGTCCCAGTTGTTAGTACCCGGTTTTGCTCTATACGATCAAAATCGGGGTCAAGGATGGCATTCCAATCCTCCGCTAAAAAGACTTGCTCACCAGCCAAGAGACACCCCTCGAGCGTCCATCAAAACATGCTGAATAGAGGGGAAAAATCCTAGATAGAATGCTCTCATGATCGCGAGAAGAAAAACGGGTCTCTTGTACACAACATACATCCACCCCGAGACGCTGAAGGTCACAATAGAGGCTCGCCCTGCGAGACTAAGACCTCAGGCCTCGGAGAAACTAGGTAACACGACCCGTGGCCCATCTCAGTCTTGATGGTATCATCTTGGGAGAGACCGTCTATATCCTACAGGAAAGACAACTTTAGTGCTCTATAGAGGGAGGTGTGAACAAGAACAGGAACTCTGCCAGCACAAAGTTGTTTCATTTTTTTAAGTTTGTCGTTCTGAACGATAGCAACAGAAGAGGTCCAGCATGGCCCACGCCTGTTTAGTCCCCGTCCCAGTTCTTATAACCGTTAAGACTCTTTCTTCTGCTGGAAAGTTTTCAGGCTCTTCAATATCAGCAAACTACTTCACTGATATAAGGTATCTTAAATCCTTAATGCAGTTACCATAATCTCGGGCTTTTTCCGCCTGGATAAGAGATATGCGGCAAACATCTACACCTGGATGTGCTTCTTACTCTTGGTTTTTTCACTTAAGTCCTGTGTTGGACTTCGGAGTCTTTTGTTTTGGGGAGGGGGCATTGCAGGAGTTTTCGTGAGAGAAAGACTGGGGGTGTGGCGAGGCGTGTATGTTTGTCTGAAGGGGTCTCTACTGAGAGGGGTTGAGGGATGGGAAAAAGATGTGGATGGAGTGGCCTTTTGGACGGGAAAGGACTTCTCTCTACTAAGAGGTGTTGAGGGGTGGGAAGAATGTGAAGGGTTGGAGTGTGTAGAGGGGGTGACCCTCTTTATAGATGACGTCTTGAGCTGACTGGAAGTAGAGGCCTGAAAAGACTTTGTTGAATGTGAGGCAGTGGATGAGGAGGGAGTAGCTTTCTTAATGGGGGAGGATTTTGTATGGCGTTGGTGGTCTAATTTTTCCTTAAGAATTTTGATTTTTTCGGTCTTTTCAAAACCAGGATCATATTTCTTTTGTAGATCTTGAAGGGTCTGTTTTGAGGCCGAGGCGTCGCCTTTACTGTTGACAGAGGGAGTGGGGCTGACAGTGCCTTTCATACCAGGGAACTGAGGAGCCGCTGTCTGGCGCTTCCCTCTTGCCCTGCTAGCATTCTGCCATTTCGTCTATCCCTTCTCCGCAACTGCACTTTCAGAGGCCGAAAGTTCTTCGGGAATGGGGGCTTAGATGTTGACCCAAACAGGGGTTTCTCCACACGTGTCCCTGAAGCTGGCATGCCCACTACAGGCGTGGCGGTATTCAAAGACGCGGTCAGAGGGGGAGTTTGGTCGGCTAGGGTCTGACTTCCAGTGGCCTTCTTCTCTGAGCAGGAAGAGGAGAGGTGACCAGTCTCTTCACACTTCCAACACACCGGTGTGCGTCCAGTCACAATGACTGGCAGCTTCAGACTCCCAACACCCAGACAGTTGGGGATGGAGAGGAAGGCTTTTCGGTATAACATGATGTCAAAACTCCATCCCCCGGTCAAGCTATCGCAGGAAGCACCGAATATTTCGCCATACTGCGACAAAAAGGGTGCCAGGTGTTCCTCGTATATCGCTACAAGTCCTCCCACCTTCATATTCGGTTCGAAGAATGAAGTCTTTTGTAATAATTTCTCTGCTGGTAATCTTAAGGCAATTTTCTGGTGTAGGTAGCAATACGTCCAACATGAAAAAACCCGAGCCCTAAACAATTCTTAGTGGCTTAAACCCCTGGGACTCCAGTGTTTTTACAACTGTTGTCTTTCTGGCCGATATTGGCCTCCATATTTTTGGATGCTGAGGTTTGGCCATTATTGGCCTCCATATTATGGGTTTCTGCTTCTTGGCCCTTATTGGCCACCATACTTTTTTTTAGTTTGGCCATTATTGGCCTCCATATTTTGGGTTTTTTATGACCATCAAAGGCCTCCTCGTTTACTGAAGCTAATGGTGGGTATTCATCGGGATGTGTTTATCTGGGTGGTCTTTTTTGATTGAAAAGAGATGTTTTTTGACCGACTTTCTAAGGTCGGCCACTTTCGGTTTCTTTTTTATAATTACATAAGAGGGGACTCCCTTTTCTATCCATTTTCAAAAGGAAGGAGAGGGGTGATGAACAGAAAAATGGTTATGTTTCGCCTGTAGGCGAGAAAAACAAACAAATAATTACATTAAACAAACAAGATTAGCTTAAGAGCGGAACAACAAATTTAAACAGTCAAACGAACAAAAGTAAAAACAAAAGGACGTACAAGAAATTAAAATATAAACAAGTTCTCCCGTAAGCGAGACTAAAAATTTAAAAGACAACAAACACAAAACAGAAGGACGTACAAAAGATTAAATAG